TTTACTCAAATTCCTACAATTTTTTTTATAAAAGTTAAAACATACGAGTGTCAATATCTTTTGTAACGATGTAAAGTTAATAAAACCTGATTATGTAAATACTGTGAAAAATAACATCTAAGGTTAAAATAGGGCACATTTTTGGACGTAATTATACATGGACACCCCCCCCCCCGATCCAAAACACAAGTAGCAGGCCCAGATTAAGGGGGATGTCGCTGGGGCCATGGTCCCTGCTCCCAACTTCAATCATAAATTTAAAACTCCTGCAATCTACAACAATATAAGGAGAAAAGGCAATTCTGGTATACTTGCATGCAAGGCCCTGGCTTGTCGCTCGCTTCTGCTACCCCGTTCATCCGTTTAATTGTACGGAATGTGGGTCGGCTGCCCAAAACTAATTTACCTGTAATTAAAATGAACAAAATACAGACAATTACAAAACATAAGGAAACTACGAAACAATGTTTTTGTTTCTTCCCACCTGAACCTTCGTCTTCCTGTATGCGCCTTCTTCCACATCCGAGTTGTACGTCCAGCATAGCACAGCAATTACATTTCATCGCCGTATCAACAGTAGGCGTTATAAAATATTTTCAAATATTCAAAACAAAATTTCAGACCAGCCCGTAAGTTAAATTATAAGCAAATTTGCACACGCAATTTTCAAAATTGTAACCAATCAATTAACTAATTTTTCACATTGTTTTATTAACAATTTTTTCTCTGCGAGAGGAAAAATTTTACAGATGTGGGTAACTTTTTGAAATGAAGAGGGTTTTCTGGGGTTTAAGGCACATAAAACATAAACCCAGATTCTAAGTTGGGTTAATAGCCCCAATATAAATGTAGTTTCAAATCATCGATGTGACAATAAATAAATCCGGTGCGTAAAAAAACTACAAAGGAAAAACAGTGGAACATTAAAAATAACATTTATCACAGGGTATAAATGAAATTGGAACATTTTATCTGTGCATCAATTAATATTCTTCATTTGCGAAATGCGTTCCCCAAAAAAACAATTACAATAAAGTTACCACATATTACAACTGCAACATAAATATTGAGCTATTTATTTATTTATTATAAAATAATTTATTCAAATATAAACAATGTAAACAATAAATGGAATGTTGGAACTGGTTCACGCGTCCTTCACTTTCCAGAGCATGAGCTCCATGCAAGCTTTCGCATCCTCGGAACTGTCATGGCCACCCTCTGAAACCGAACACACATCTCAGTCATTACGTGACGTAACAAAACGACGAGGAATTCCGACGGTTAAAACCGAGGGAATCCAAAATCGCCGCAGCATCAAATAAGATACCTCAATCTACACTTACCGCAAAAATGACGGTTCGGAGGTCCCAGGTTCAAATTCTGTCCCAGAGACTGGCTATCCTGACTAATAAATGTACTTACTGGTTTTCCTCAGACCCTCCAGTAAAATGTCGTGATAGTAATTTAAATAAGGGCATTCATATTCGTTGATTCATCACGCGACCTACTATTTAACGGCACAGAATATGAGCGACTAAGGGCATAGTTAATAAACACACAAAAATTAATGTCCGATTCATAAAATGTAACTGTAGCAAAATTATTAATGAATAACATTATCAATTAATTATTTCCCACGAGCATAATTCTATACTGGGAACGACCCGTTCTTCAAGTGCCTCAGCACTGCGGGTCCCAACTTTACGTTGGCTCGATCTATAGACTCCTTGGACGAGGGATCGTCCCTTCGCAAGGCCTCTTACCTGTACACAGGACAGCACAACACGGAAAAACATCAATGGCTTGAGTGGGATTCGAACCCACAGTCCCAGCGACCAAGTGGCACAAGGCCCACGCCTCAGACCGCGCGGCCACTTGTGACCCCAGACTATACACAAATTGAATTAAATATTATATACAAATGTGTTTATCTCCAGGCTTCATTATCAGACAAATACTGTACGGAGAAACTGCAGTTGCCATGACATACCATTCTCTTGAATAATCTTACTGAGGTGCTCTCGACATAGCGTTTTCAATGCCCTTTTCTTTGGTGGCCCCATCTTGTGTGGAAACACAATACTTGTGTCCACCACAGTGCTATGTATCATCTGAAAGAAAACGCACACTAGTACTCAAGGTAGACCAAACACGTGATCACATGCGCAAACATTTATCTTCGTATCTTAGACTGTACGGGCGGAAGGCGGATGAAACTAGCTCAGGTCCCGCCCAATCCGACTTCGATTTTGTTAAAGAAAATAAATCAACTTTAAAATCAAACATTCGCTCAAACAAACGTGATCTCTGTTTAACTTCATACCTTCAACGCTTTGAAATCGCTATCTAAACTGTGACCTATAAGAATTGTTTTCTCATGAATAAACGACAGCAACGTAGCCTGAACGTCATAAATGCTGGTCTGAACTCCAATCATGTCTTCTTCCGTGATCCCACTGAATCTGAAAGTGGAAGAGGAATTAACAGTTTAATACAATGAAACATGATAAATACAGCGAAATTTAAATTTTAAAGGTTTGACGTAATATTTCACGCAAAATATCTTTGGCTAAGTATATGTTCGATAAAACCACCATTTAGTTAAACAACTTCTTAGAGACAATATCTCCAAAAATCTCCCTGCACAACCAATAAATCACGGCTCTCAGATTCGTAAGATCAGCCTCCTCACGAGTAAAACTCGCATAGTCACCCATGAAAGCGGAAGTTACACTGGGAGCAGGAAAAAATATGTACCTCGTGTTATAATCAATGATCGGATTTTCCGGTTTAACCAAGCTCTCATAAACCGTAGCGAGGTCTCGGTCAATGACCGTAACCCTCGTCAGTTCCAATCCTACGGTGGTGTAAGACATCTCACAATCCAACGCGTAGACGCCATGATCGCCATCTGCTGGTTCTTCATGACGTGGGAGTGTTTTCACATAACCTCGCATATCATCGGGATCAAATCCGTCACACACGTGGCACTGCGTCACTGTGCAACCACCCCCTTCGCCATCGCCACTGCAACACGTATAACGCCGTTCCCAGCCACCCAAAACTGAAACAATTCAGAGACATAAAATTTAGCTCACTGAACATTTGAAAACAGTGATACAACCAAGAAAGTTACTTCCATGTTCAAAATGTCTAACTTTGAGGTTAGGTTAGGTTCACTTAATGACATTTTGTCATAGCGTACTACGACTTTTGATTAACTTTATTATCAAACACGCTAATGTGGGAGTAAGAACACTTTTTTTCTGTATTCTAAGCTGTAATGAAAAATAACACATCCGGTCCACATAATTTCAGGACACGAAGTGTTTGCATAATTTCCGTGTGTAGAAAAATATTAATTTCGTAAAATTAGATATATAATAACTGTAAAGCAAATCCAGGGATAAAAAAATTCATATTTTTAACTAGTTTGATCCAAACTTTTTAAATGAAGAACAAAACTGAGCAGAGTCAGGGTTAAAGGCGATGAAATGATATTTCATCACATACGACTACTTCTAACCTCGCAAAATATAAATAATATAAAATAATCATGACGTAACTCTATTTGCTGTCAAACGGCATCCAGTGCCATAAATTATCCGATTACACAATCTGCCAAAAACATTAAATGTACACGAAGAATTACTGTTTTTTGTGGTTAAACACAGTCGATTGCAACTTCAATCTACCTCTCGTCTGGAACATTCTTCCCCAGTGGTAAACACACTGTTCATCCTTCACTTGCAATCCATTCCTGTTTACAGAATATCCTTGATTACAACGAGAGCACATGCGTAGTACGCGTTTACGATTCGGTGAAAGGGGCATCTTTTTTGCTGTTCCTGGAGGCAGATGCATGACTGCAACTCCCTTCTCTTCCGGATGTGGCCGAGGAAACCCATTTGAGCACAGCATTTCTTCGGTGAGGAGGTAGGGTTTCAACAGGAAATATAATGGCTCTGTAGATGACTTCGACCCTGAAACAGTGTATTTAGCGTAAGGAAATGGAGCGTTCATACAACAGACTCTCGTGTTCTGGAGGAATCATAACGTACGTGCGCACTCTGTGCCAAACCCAAATAAAGTTCCACCACAAATTTACTTTTTTTAAGTTCTAAAGACTACAGTGAGAATGTCGATCACACCGCTCAACTTTCTTCAAGAAGTGTGGGATCCAGAGAAACACCGACATTCGTCAGCCCAGACAATCATAAATAATGAAGTTTTATTTTATAAGAAAATATAATTTTATGGTTACGACCATGTCCTCCTCCCAAACATATCATTTAATGAGAATCCTGTCATCCATTCTCGAGCTGTACATTCAGGCAAGGGACGGATGGACAGACAGGGAAAAGATAACAAGAAATTTTTTGCAAAACTTTCAATTGCAAATGCATCTAAAAATTGATCTAACAAAAGTAGGCTTTGGCACAAGATAGTTATTAAATTATGACTACAATTTTAAAAAAAAGGTATATTTTTTTTAAGTTCTTACCTTGCTTCTTAATACTCCAAGTTCCTTTTGTACCACTATGGCCTGTCAGTACAGATGAATGTGAGAATACGCGGGATTGACTAGAAGCAGACGTGCTTGGTTGGCTAGTACTCACTGTCAGAATAAAAGTCAACATTTCTTTACATTTCCTTCTTTAATAATTCTTATATAAGATAAGTACTTGTGATAATCTGAAACGTTTTTAACAGCACAATATTATCTACTCTACAAGCGATTCATCAGGGTGGTACTGGGATCAAGAAGGATGGCTGGAACCACTTCTCAATAGTACGCAACATTTTCTATAAATCTGGCACCAGGCAGTGAAAAGGAATGCAACTCCTGTTCTGAAGTCATCAATATTTCAAAGTTCAACGTATGAATCAAATAAATGCACAATCAATTAGCATCGATCTCATAAATTCTGATATCAAACTTTTACATATGGTTTAAGAAACATAATTATAACAGAAGACAGCCATCTTCATACTTACCGCCACGAGAACCTCAAATCCTACATAACTAAAATCAATTCCGATCAGTTTGTGATTTGTGATTGATTCACAAACAAAATCTGATCATCAGAGTGGATAAGGTTTTAAGCATAAAGTCTAAATCGTACATGAACAGTCACACCCATCAATAGGTTAATGTACTATTTCAAAAAAAAAAATTCACTCATAAAACAAGGTTAGTAACACGCTAAGGCAACGGCACGAAAAAGAATTTCACAGAAATATAAAACGCGTAACATCACCAACCTTCTGCAGCCGCCTCTTTCCTGAGTCGATTGATTTTGTTTGACATATGGCTCGAATACACAGACCTGGTGTTGCTACGACTGTATATAATGGCTTCTTCTTCCATAGCCTGTTGACAAAAAGTACGCGGGACTTACACCTGTACAAGATTAGATTCACAAACATGATGTCAATCAGATATTACCTGCCTATAAAAATGCACGTGTTAAACACAATGTATATAAGTCCCTTTAATAAGTTTTAAAATCTGTGTCTGAAAGATTTAATTTAATAAATATTTAACCATGTAAGTATACAATTATATAATTTAAATTTAAACTTTTGAGTCAATAAATTTTGGGAACTAAACTTTTAGAGCTTTGATAGGTTACACCCCAAACAAATCCTTCTACATTCTTTTCCTTAGGTTTTCACAGCTGGAGTTCAACGTATTTCTTCGGCTTTCAGGGATAAACCGTGTGAAATGATGTGAAGACATGCACAAAATTGCACTTCGTCAGATCTCTCCTAAAATGTCCATAATTAAAAAAAAAACATAAAACATGATCCACAGAATTGGCCACCATGGTCACCAGACTTCACTTTGCTAGATTTCCATGGGATAATATGAAAAAGTAAACAGATGATAGGACCTACTTCACTGAATTTTTGATACTGAAATACGCACGAAAGACCCTAATGTTCCTCTTAGAGTTAAAATGATCGTGAATTTCAAATATCCGTAGCTCCACAACCTTTGAGAACTGGACCCACGCTCATATGATAATTACGACGGGGATCGATTTTCAGAAATAAAAACCAAGTATTGACAAATCACTGGGCACTCTATACATAAAATTAAAACAAAACTCACTTCAGTGACAAATGCTATATATATATATATATATATATAACAAAATTAATGAAAACCACTGACCTTAGAATGAGCATCTGAAGAATCGGGGTATAGTTTCAAATATTCAGCCACTAAATGGTTCAGATAACTCTGACGTACATTGGCTGGAATTTTTCCTCCAAGTTCACCAACAATTTTAGGTTGTGAAAGGACAGTCTGGAGAGCAGAAACAGACAGACATATTATAACAAACACATGAACTCATTCATGTAATAGCTGTGGAGACAGAGGATTTAAAATCAAAGCTCCGCTTTTCCCAAGGCACTACCCTGCAATAATACATACACATACTTTGCTAATAGTGGGATAACATTCTAGCATTATATAATCTGTTAGTAAAATATGTGTTCCTTTCGGACCAATCACAGATAATCTCCACTCCATCAGCCCAGATAATCACGAGTTTACTGTATATACAAAGAAACAGAATTATGGTTTGAATGACAGCGTGGCTCAACATCTATGTGAGACCAATGAATCTGAAATATGTCTATTAATTACAGTAAAAATCTCGATCAGTATAGAGACTGATTATGGACTAGACGACAGCGGTTCGATCCCTGACAGCGCAGAGGATTTTTCCTCTAGCTTCTGCGTCCAGCCCGGTTCTGGGGCCCACCTCGCCTCCTATCCAATGGTCCTTTCCCGGGGGTAAAGCTTGTCCGGGGCGTGACACTGACCACTCGCTCCCATCTAGTGTCGAGGTTAAGAATGAGTAGGAGCTATACCTTCTCCCCCACCCCCCAGCGCCTACATGCTGTACAACAGAACAGCTTTCTTTTTAATTACAGTAAAAATTTTACGCACCGTAGAAGGCCTGTGAGCAACTCGATGGCCACCCTTAGGTGCTGTCTGAACAACTGTATGAGATTCAGTATTCTCAGCTTGAGGCAAGGCACTTTTTGAGGTAGACACAGATTCCATATAACTTCTTCTTTTTTCGAATGCGGCCTGCATCCTCATCTTAGCATTAAGTAAGTGTGATACATTTGGTACATGTGCAATACGAACACGGCCTGAAAATAAAAACAAACGTTCTTCAATACATCAGAAACACAGATAACAGGTGTGTCTTGCTGACATATTTTTCTCAAACACCCCGCACACCTGAACAATTCACAAACCCAGTTCTTTTTTACATAATAAAATAAAAAAGTTTGTATGAATTTATTTGCATAATAATTTCTTGAAATTCAAGAAAGATGTCCCAGTACCACGTTGTCCACCACAAACTCCACATATGCAATATCATCATCAAACAGGAAATCACATTTTTATATACTCACACGCAAATATATCAGAAATAAAAATATCAGAGCTTAAATATCCTTCCTCTCTTAATCTTAATGGTACTTCTCTAGTCACTCACGTAATGCTCCGCTTGAGGATCCAGAGCCCACATTGCTGCCAGCACTCGGACTAGTATTCGATGTACTACCGAGACCAACGGCTGACAGACTTGTTCCAGCATTGTCTGTTAACCTTCGCTCCTGAAGTTCTTGCATCTTGGCAATCCTCATGCTCATAATCTGCAAACAAAGCATCATATTTCAGTAATTAACATTTTGCATTGCTGTTCTTGATCTATCATTCAGTGCACTAGAAATGAAGCCACGATACTTCAGGAACTCTACAACCTTACATTCTCAAACATGTGAATCTACAATCTGTCAAGCAAATAATAATAATAATAAAGGCACAGTGAGAACATAAGAATAAGAATGCTGGCAGACACTTTAAATTTTTCTGTCTCCATTTTACTTAACCTAAATAAGTCAAACATCTTTGGCCGCAACAAGTGTACAATCAGGTTCAATTATTACGGTTCTGCTCTCCTTAAATCAAAGCATCTTTGGAATTATCTACGGCCAAAATTTGCTTCTGAACCAGAATATGACAGCATCGGCTGCAACAAATGATTCTTTGCCGCATAATATTTTATATGTTATCGTGTAAAGTTACCAAAAAGCATGTGAAGTCACCGTCATTAAAATTAGTGTGGATAAGCAATAACGCAAAACTTCTTGCTTTTCTCTACAAGAATGACCTAAGAGGAAGGTTTTGAACAGATGCATCTGTGAATATATGTATAGATGCTGATGGCTCCTAACATGCTTCGTTTACTAATGAATGTTACTGTGTGAAACTATCTTCACTTTGTCTGAGAGAAATGTAGGACGAGTTAAATTTGTGTTTCTTGGCTACGTAACAGTTCTTTAGTGCGTCATTTGCTTCTCACGCTATTTATAAGGTCTGATATTATAATAGCAGGATTTATTTTGTAAAATATGTTCACTAACCATTAGTAGACATTGCCACATCAAAATATATGACAACGTTCCCTGATGATGGAAACAGAGGGTCTCTGAAATGTTGGACTCTTGATCCGAAATGATGCGGCTGGTCACCGGAGAAGATTTTATCACACTTCAAAGCACTCTTCTCTTGGCTACACACATATCCCAACATGTCTGACATGCTTCGAAATACCACTGGAAGTCATTACCTGAAAGTCGATTTAGTACTGCCACTGCTACGACGTTTACATTGAACTGTGACACTGTTGTGACGTTCTAAATCACCAGTGCACTTTCTCTGTTCTCAAGTTATTTGCGACTGACGAAACTCATGCTGACAAACATATATCCCTCTCTGCACCACTAAGCTATCTTAAAGGTTTAGAAAAGAAAGTCAAAAGTGAAGAAAATAGTACTGCAATAATAAACAATGGGCGATAATCGTTACAGAGTAATCCCTTGTGGCTCTTACATCACAAGCATCAACATGTTATCAGCTCAGATTAACAGGAGCACAAAAATCATGAGGGCACAGTGAAGGCAAAAATTATACACTTAATCCATTCTACGTCATTCAGAACAGAATTATTCTTCGTTAAAAAGAAACACAAACGACCCGTTCACACAACTGGCACTTCTAGCATCAACGTCTTCCACTTGCAACGTCACGGCTGTCTCAAATGTTATCTATTCTCTGGTCTTGTACGGTATGAGGCCATATAATAAAGAAACAGATTAATTTTTTTCTTCTTCTTGGTAATCCCTCACTCCAGTCATACCTCACATCGTTTCCAAAATACTACCACAACTCTAACATTTGACATCATTTGACATGGTTCCCAGACGCAAGAGATAAGCTTCGGATATCGTACAAGAAAATCGTGAATCTTGAAAAACAACGCGTTTTTCTCCAGATTTTCAGAATAATCAGTCAAGTAACTTACATGCATAGGATTTACGTGGTGTTTAACTGGAGCTGCTACTTGTGGTGGATACTTCCGTGCCGCTTCATGCGCAATACGCTTCCTAACGGGCACCTCCTCTTCTTTCAAGGGCTCTTCAACTTTCATAGTTTTCTATATAAATAAAGTTAAAAAAAGGCTCAATACAATATAAATTTGTATATAATACATTTCAAATATTTGGTAGAACTGGATGTGAATGAGTGTACGTTCTACTTTATCATGTTACGACTCTCAAAATTCTGCTTCGTATCTACAGGGATACAAGCCAAAAAGAGATCTATGGGGTGATATATGAAACATAGTTTGCATACGAGCATACCCTTTCAAAACAAAAGGAACAAAGTTTATAACTGCTGGCACCATTTTTTGGCAATTTCATCCATTACAATTACAAAATTATCCGCGTATCTTCAGTATTAAATGCATATGAGGTTCTGAAAATGCTATATCAACAAACACTTAGGTATAACATAAGGTTGGTACATAATTTTATTTAAAGAACACAAAAAGTGGCCACAGAAAATAATGAAAATAACGAGAACAGAAGTTGAAGTTAGATATGAGAGTAACCCAGAATTTATACGGAAAATATCAATAAACGACACAAATTTGAGGATGGCAAATTATTTCTCACTTAAACATCGACAAATCTTAAAACAGTACCGAAGTTCATCACTTCTAAAAAGATGTCTTATAAAAGATGGCAGAAAAGTCATTCAACACATTTTTGACACATCTGCTATTTATAAGAGAATAAATTACATAAAATCAATTATACGATACTGTCGATATGTTTGGCACGCGAGAACTGACAAATGCATCCCTAAATGTATAAACATTGTCAAACCGGAAATAGAAAAAGAAGAAAAAATTACTACTTGAGTAAAATTGTTAAAGCATACTAAAGTTCATCATGACATTTCAGCTGTACCTTGCTTACTGTACGTTGGCTTTGCTGCGGTTCATATTCTTTAAAAATGCGATAACATTCCTGGGCGATTGTATCTTCATCTGACTCCGAGGCGTATACGGTAACAGCTGCAGAATCATCTGGCAACGCAACTGAACTGACGGTATCAGCATCTCTAGAATCGGAATCGCTGCCGCTGATATACTGCTCTTGTGATCCAGCACCGGGGGAAGAAGAATTTCCTACGTGGAAAAGCATAAAATCATACTTAAGCGTCGATTACCAATTTGCCATCCTGATACACACACAAAATATCAGCAGATTATGGCGCAAAAAAATAGGAACAATACAAACGCCCTTCTTTAATGTGTTCGATGGTGATCCAAGTAACAGATAAAGCAATGTTCGGAGTAATGGATCCGCTGATTTATGGGTAAGGTGCTAGCCTGAGTGTAGAAGGTCATGGGGTCGAGGCTGGCAAGATTAAGTATGGTTTTCTGCGTATCGTCTCATTCCCTTCGATCTTACAAAGTCAAAACTTTGTAAATGTGATGTACATCAAGGCCATAACCACGGATCACAGCTCATATTAATCTGAAGCCCCTCTGGCAATCTTTTGGGGAAATATGGAAACTCTCATTCCATCTGCGGATTCCATCCTTACTGGGCAAACAGAGGCCAGCGCGTCAAAGACGAACTGGAGGCACAAGCCATGCCACAACCTAGATTATTAATAATAGAGATAATGGTCGTGACATAGCAGACGATGAAATTTTTAAAAAAGGGAATGTTATAGTAAAAGTTTTCCTATGTATTAATATAATCAAAATAGCTTACCTGCATTTATTCCACTGTCCTCAGCAAAAGGCTCGTTTGTCAACTTTCTTGTTATCAACGTAGCTGTTTTATACTTTTTATTATGAGATTTGCTGTTTTCGTGATTCTTTTCCGTGTTTTTACTCTTATAATGGTGGTGACGGTGGTGGTGATGATCTTTGTGCTTCAATCTACTGGAACCTGAATGACATTTACCTTCAACAAGAATTTTGGAACTCGAGTGTTTTTCGGATTGCTTCTCTGAATTATGCGCTCGTTTTTCTTTCGTTCCTAATTCTTTCACTTTATGATGCTTGTGACTCTTACTATCACTACCAGTATCCCTCTTTTTAATCCTATCTTGTCTCTCACTTTTACTATCTGACTTCCTATGTTCAGACCTACTTGAACTTGAATGTTTATAATCGTGTTTCTTATGTTTCTGTTCTTTCATTTTCTCACTGGAATGCCTTTTACTTTTTGATTTGTTTCTTTCCGATCTGTCCTCCTTCTTGCTTGATGACGATGAATGTGATCGAACACGAGTCTGTGTTCCCATTTTTTGACTCTGATCACTTTTGTTACTCGCATCTTTAGAATAATTTTTAACATTAATATCAATTTCTGACTTAGTACTTTCAAAATTTAAATTAGGTTCATCACTATTCACAACACTATGCATCACAGTACAAACTTCTTCAGCCTTTAGACTGTTCCCTTCCCGTGATTCGCTTGAATTTTCATTTAGAATTTCATCCAACAAATCAAGTTCAGTAGATAAATCTACTTCCACAATATCGCTCTGTAGCCGAGTCTTCACAGTTGGCTTATATAACACCTGAGACGTGTTAGTTTCCGAACCTACTGGGATATAGTCAGGTTCAGAAATAGAGACAGATTTCTCTGTGGGGCAATACTGCGGCATAAGGACCGATGAACCGACGGGAGCGGGAATATAATCGTTACTACACTTGGGAAGCGTATCGATTGAACTTGGTATATATGATAGTGGCTGGTTGGAATCAGTCCAACCATTATGCGGAGGAGAATATTTCAGAGACAATGGATTATACATAACATTTTTCACAGATACATCGATCTCAGGATTATATTCTTGTTCTACTATTTGACTGTCCTTTATGTTAGGTTTAACCCTCTTCTGTCTAGGATTATCATCAGAAGAACTAAGCCGTTTCACCTGAACTTTGGAAGCACCCCTTGGTGCAGGAGAAGGAGTGTAAGGCACCGGTATATGACGCTTTTTTAATTCTGATATGGGTGTTGGTTTGTAAGATGGAATTCCAGCTGGGGGTAAATACGCCTTGTGCAAGCGAGGTGCTAGAGGCTCGGATGTCGGAACATCAGCACCTATTTGCGACGAAGATGGTTTCAGTTCCTCTACTACTTGACTAACCAGAGCTTGGGGGATAGAACTTTCTGACCCAGATGACATTGTCCCTGCTAACATTTCTGGATGCTGTAACACTTTCTTCACAGCCTCAGAAACTAATCTTTGTAAAATTTCACTGTCAGCTGGACCACCAGTACTGGCACAACCGCCCTCCTGAGCGGAACTGTTGGCGTTCGACTGACACATGCTCGAAGATGGCGCATCAGTCGAGTCTGAAATAAAGTGCAAAGACCTTAGTTTCTGTAAAAAAGATGAAAAAATAGCTTATACCATACATGCTTATCAACAATGAATGGACAAGGATTTTGAAGAAGGTAGTCATGACCAACTTAAAATTATTATTCCACCATTCACTAGAAAGACAAAACCTCAGGACAGCTATTAGAACACATATATTCCTAAGGCCATGACATTTATGAACAAGATTGGCAGGCAGACAGACAGACAAATATGGGAAGACATAGAGATCCTAGTTAGCAGTATGTGGAACAAGTCAAAGTAACACAGTTATACAAATACATAAATAAACTACATTTATTGGCATACATTATTACATCATTAAATATTCCTAACCGATTACAGCCTATATTTACAAATGGCTTAAATTGCACCAAATTAATACAACAAGTAATAATTATGCACACAAATTCCACACACTTAGTTCACTACCCATACAGGTTATTTCTACACATACAAAATCAAAATTTCAACTATTTTACATTTCATACCTGAAGAACAAAATAAGAATGCAATAAATTATTTACAAACATGCACTTTACTGGTTCTACTCTCCACTTCCATTATTTCAATACCAAAGTAGAGTACAATGTGAGAAACAAAACTTAACAAATCAAGATTTCAAGGTATCAAAGCAGTGATTATAGCCTTCCAATTCATCACAACATGTAGTTTATAGACTGTAATTATACCCCATCCTTATACAGTAATGATTAAAATCTAAATTAAAACACAAATTGATTAGAAAAAATTCATTATATGGATCCTGGTTAATCAAGATGTAGAACAAGTCAGTGTATAGACACAATAAGCTAGTCATGTCCAACATTATAAGTCCAGTCCCATACAGGATATAAATACAAGGGTTAAGTATGATCTTCATCAGCCAAGAACTAACCTCACTAGTTATCAGAAAGGTCCTTACTATGCAGGGATCAAATTATTCATACTCTTCCACACAGCATTCACAAGTACTTAAGCTGGCATTGAAAGGTTATAATTTACCTCACTCCTACTACTCTAGAGAAAAATTTATTTCAATTGAACATTATTAAATATTGTAAATAGATGTGATAAGTAAGTAATTATAATTTTGTTTTGCTACTTATTGTACTAAGTGCACAAATTCATGTTCAACATCCTTGGTTTGTACTATAAAGTATCTACGGAAATTAAATAAATCCTATTTCCAATACTAAGACACGAATACTTATATAATACATATAAACAGAGAAGATAAAATGACAACAAAATAATAGAGAAAGGGAAAAACGCCAAGTTCTGTAGAGACCTAACCCAACAGAGAACGGTTAACTGCATAAACTACCCACTCCAACCAAAGGTATGACATATTTGTCCAACTACTGCACAAACATTATTCCAAAAATAGTTGCAAATAAATATAACCAAACCCACCTCTCTTCACATGTCTGAAATGGCAGTACGGTCTCTCACATAGCCCACTATCATAAAATGGGCAATTTATTGTTTTGAAATATCCTGTTGAGGGCAACATTGTTGCAATAAATATAACGTCAAAACAATCTCTCATTCATCTTATTATTTCTTAGATGCAATAAATTAAAATACAATCAGACACACAATACACACGTCTTCCATTTATAACGCTGTGCGCTATAAAAGCATATAGCCAACATACGCAATTGCACGATTTCCCTGTGTGGTTGCCAATATATTTCCCTATATACAGGAAAATTCTCTCAAGGATTTTAAACAAACGCTTGCTGTCTATGCAAATTATTTTCGTGATAACAGAACATCCTACAGCGAGAAACAAACGTCAACCCATGGTGCGGGATAGAACCTGTCTGTATAATATGACAATCGTCCTGATGATGGAGACAGCTAGGACCTCTGCAACGTTGGTAATCTTCCTTCAGACTACACGGCGACGAAAATAACCGTCTTCTGGGATGTTGCCCTATTTAGTGAGGCAGAAATTTACCAACATTTCAGAGGTGCACACTGCTTTCATCAGGGCGATTTATCGTAATGGAGACATTCTATAATTTCACAGCAGTGTTCGATCTCTGCACAACATCACGTAACTAATTTAGTTTCATTCCTAATTACAATTGTTTCATACGATATCTGATCTTCCCACTATAAGAAATAGTCAAGAGCTATTTTAATAATGCACAAGGAATGTTAAATATATTCATTTTTAAGGCACAAAACATGTATCATACCATCAAATTAGGTTGCACATAACAGAACATTTGTGGAATAAATATCAAAGATATTCACAGATGATAGCAGTGCAATAACCACCTTATTATGCTATAATAAATAGCAGGTTTCATCAAATCTGAGTTGTTAATAAAAAGGACACCCGTTTCCATTCCCTTATCTAACACCTGATGGAATCCTCTGATATCAGTAAATCTCTGCTAACCATATCTTCCACATAACCTTTACAATTGTGATAATTTTTCTCTTTAGTTGAACCTTCAAAATGGTGATCATTTCTATCTCCTTCAAGAAATAGAATGGAAAGCCATAATTTCTTTGTATCCATTTATCTTCAATTGAGGTATCTGAACAGATTTTTACTTTTTATTTAAACTGGCTACATCTGGTCACCTTACTTAGAGTGTAATCAAAAACTAGTCATTTGATATTGAAAAAAACCTCCCTTGTAAATAAGTTATGGCTTTAATTCCAAAGTTTACATTGTGGCATGCAGGTAAAGTTTGTAAATCCTAAAATCTCTTCATGAACTGCTAAAAGAGCTGAGTATTATTTATCTGGACATGCCTTTTATCTAGACTGTAAAATAAGCATACAAGTGGACCAGTTGTATTGCATTGTAGAAAAATCAAACAGTATTTATGAGACACTTCATAATCATTCAATTACCAATTAGGCAATACAATGAGAAAAGAAAGGATAATACAGTCGCCTTGAAGTCATAAAACTTATTCTGCGTAGATCTTTACTGGTTAAATGTGATTTATTCGCGTTATATTCTAAGTGTACCAAATTACAAAAGTCCCTTTTTATAAATAAAGCTTTGTTGGCTGTATTCAAACTCAGGAGTGATTAGTGTTTAATACAGACACCAAAGGACTATAAATCAGGATATGCTATGTCATATAATCTGGTAGCAACATATGATTAGTATCTTATTATGCTATTAGTGTCAGCAATCCATCTTTTCACTTCTATTTAAATTGCATTCACAGGATAGGAAATTGAAAAGATTGAATAGGCCACTTTTAACTTCAATAAAATTATTCCATGTGAGCTATGTTAAGCACATGTCAAGGAAAATAATAAAACATTGTACGATGGCCGTCTTCTGGGTCGCTTTGCCACGTAGTCTGATAGAAATTTACCTCCATTTCAAAGGTAGAGGCAGCAAGGACCTCTGAAACATTGGAAAACTTCTACCAGTCTATGTGGCACAACAACTCAGAAGATGGCCATCTTTGAACTCACTGCCATGAAAACCTCAAATCCTATAAAACATATCTTACATCAAAATAATGACTAATTGCTGTAATGAGATATACAAGGTGGGTGGGAAGTAAGTAGTCATTAAATAATTGCTATGCATTGGAAATATAGAGGTTTTAACCATTTCTCAATGCCTACTTTTTTCCCTCCCACCCTGTATATCTCCATTAGCAAAAATGAACTACGAACACACATCACAAGTAAACTTCCTGACTGAAGTAGCAGTGTAAAATGGATAGAAATAATGTGGCAAAATAGGGGTTCCTAAATCATAAACGTGAATGTTTCATTTTCGAATATGGCTACTGGAAGCAGGGCCTAAAAATGTGCATTACCTTAAAAATATTTCAGTATTAATCATAAGCTGCTGGAATATTTATTACTAAACGAGAAGAAAGCCAATTAAATGTGAAGTGAATCTTCATTCACTTTCGGCCCTTGCATACACAAAGCTCCGGTTTATCTTCAGTTTACATCAGACGAAGTCGGTAAAATTGTCTTCAGTTCAAAGATAATACTTCTCCAAAACTATAATGCCAACACCAATAAAAAATGTTACCATTTACTAAATATGGCAACCTTTGCTCGACTTATAAAATGCTACGCTGTTCTATGATATGTGACTGTACTGTTCATTTCTTCCCCCACTATTCAAAAACCAAAAGAGAATAAAATACAGTAAAAGTAAGAGACACAAAAGATTCTTCTGAATAAACAGTTCATTAATTTCATTCATACATAGAATAGGAACAAACTTGTGCTATTTTGACTTGCTTGGAGCAATGGCAGCTTGAGCAGCCTTTTTTGCTTTTACCATTTCCACTAATTCCTGTAAAGAAAAATAAGTAAAAAAAATTATTATTCAAGGTTCTTCCCACACACACACAGCAGATTTCATAACTAAAATTAACTGTTTTTCACTCATTTTAACAGTGAAAATCTTAAATCTATGTACCCCGCCTTAATTTCATTCTGGAGAATAAACTCTTGACCAATTGAATTATTTGTGATATTATGTACCTTGTATCTTCTCATACAATCTTTCTTGGAGCGTGTGGGAAGACATTCAGCGATCCTGTCCCACCGTTCAGATGTTGAGGCAGGATAAGTTTTCAAAGCCTGCTCTAAAAGTTGCTGTTCAATTGCAGTCCAAGGAGTTATTTTTATTCCCTGCTGATCAGCTGGACCTAAAATGACGACATTGTCGTTACCTGAATAATGTACTTTTGGATTTATGGCCATTTTTGGAAGAAGATTCTCAAAGAGCATAGGATATGAATATTATGTGCATCCTGCGTTAATAACTTCTCTACACATTAACCAGAGCTCGTGAAACACAAACACATGTACTAAACCCTGCTTTCATTATCAATAGGTGTTCACGCAAACTGCGAGTTTGAAGAAATATCAGGTGTTAAAGTTTTGTGAGCAAATCTTTGAAAATTTTGTATCATTTATTCGAGTCTTCTAAACACAAAATAGAAAATGGTAGCCATGCAAAGACATTTGTTCTTCGATTCTTTGGAAGGAAGTGATAAACCCCTACGGCTACGCATGTGAAATGTGGTACGCTCTAGATATTATAAATAAAACTTCAAAATTTTGTTTAAAAAGCAATTATTTTGTAGTTAACAGACTTGTGATTTTTAGCATTAATTTTAAAGAGGCAAATATCTAACTGAAATGTACAAGGCTGGAATTAAGGTTGGCAATTTAAATATAACAAATACGCTTTCATTTACTTCCCACCACCACTTGAGCAGTCCTGGACCAGTGCCTGAAACTTGCCAGTTATCAGTCACGTAACCAACGCACAGGGGGTTTAAAACCCACCTTGATAACATTTATTTATTTTCATACACATGGCGGCATCAGGGGTCAAAACCCTGTTCTAATTATACTTACTATCAAACCTCTGAGATGTAGTTGCAGAAACTTCTACAGAAACTTTTTGATCTTTCTCAAAGTTATCATATGCTTTTTGGTTGGCAGCAACTTTAAGGATGTTTCTAGAATAGTCACAGCTTTGAAGATCTTTAGCCTTGGCGAGCACTTCTTTTGGAGTCCGTGGCACAAAGTCACCAACGGTGTGTTGATTTATAAAATTGGCGACCACTTCCCACCTATAATAAATGTTAATTTGAATGCATAACTAATCAACAAAATAAATGTTAACACTCGTTTCAACAAAACTGGTTAAATAATATTACAGTCATTTACAAAGTAACCTTACAGCAAACTCGTAACGTAAAGAGAACAAATGTCATAAAATCTTTCTCCATTTCTTTTAATGTAGAATATTATTACACAAAATGGAACTTCTACGTTTAATGTAGAATATTATTACACAAAATAGAACTTCTTCACCAGTACTGTGTAATATATTAAATGCTGTTTATGTAAATGTTTAATCACACCATTTGAATCAAGTCTGTTTCTGAAGATAGCTGTTTTCTGGGTTGTGCCATGTAGTCTGGTAGAAGTTAGCCAAAATTTGAGGGCCACATGTGAGGAATCAGTGGAGGCATTGATCCCATGTCTTAAACAAACCGATTCCTCACATGCAGCTTACTCATTGCCCTGATGACGGAGGCAGCAAGGACCTCTGAAACGCCAGTAAACTTCTACCAGACTACACAGCGCAACAACCCAGAAGACAGCCATCTTCAAACTCACTGCCGTGAAAACCTCAAATCCTGCATAAAAAGGAGACTTCCTTCACTCTGTGCCTTATTCCATACCTTCATTTTTAATATAACTTTACTTTATTACAATGTTTTTACAAAGGCTGTATACCAGCAACCGATTCTTTGCTGATTAATACACAGCATACACTGTTTATAAAAAATCCTCTAATCCTGTAATATCTTTGACAATTACACACATTAAAGAATGTAGATGTTTTATAACTTTGTTGCCTGGGAAGTGTACATACCTCTGGTTTGTTCCTGCAGGGAACACGTTAACAGCCTTGATCAGCAACTGCAACTGTTCGTGTGTCCATGGAGTTGAGCCCTTCTTACTTCTACCTGTAGTTCCTGAGCCACCTCCACAGGAACGAGTGGCAGATTCCATCAGTTCTTGCCGCTCTCGCTCAATGCGACGTTCTGTTTCCTCCATTGCTTGAAGGAAAGCTTCCCGACCATCGAGCGTCAATTTCGTAACTAGTTCTTCCAGCCTGGGGCAAAAAAGAAATTTTGATTGTCTCAAGAAAAGTGAACTGAATGTAGAAATGATAACTCCGTTTTATGAGATCTACAAAATTTCTCTTCGAGTACACAGTAACAAAGGATATGATTGGCTGGTTTGTCACAAGACACTGGTACATAATTTATCTCCACTTCTATTTCTAAAGTTATGTATCTTACAAAACTAAACTATTATTATCTTGTCAGTAATCCTTATTTTCTGTGGCAGATACAGTAACCAGGATGAATCATTATACAACGGAACAATTCACAAAATCACAGGAAACACTGTCGTTGAAAGGGAAGGGAAGCAAGACATCGGTCATAAATTTCTTCATGGGCGGTTCGACTCAAATTTATATTGTGCTTAGAGTTTTCATGAAAATGTGAATGTCTATCAGTTTTGAGGACTATTGCGCCAAGCTGTATCACTACGGTAATGTAAATTGTATGCTCACATTCTGCTAATATTACAATACTAACAAAGTTTAAAAGAAATACAATTAAAGCTGCAAAATATACAATCATTTCAGTCCAAGTACTTTTAGTGAATTTATAATCTCCTCCACGTTCAGAGAATTTAAACTGATTTAAATAACCCCTAGAGCTTAGAGGTTAAGTATATTATGGAATAAGAATGAAAACTTTACAATCGTATTGCAACTTACTCATCTACTCTCAGGCATTCGCAGATCTTTTCAAGACTAGCCATGTGGTGGACCATTTCAGAAGGATCAACCGAATAATAGTCATTTCCTTTGGCCAGTTTCCGAAGCGACGCACGCTCCTTTTTGAGAGCGCGTTTCTGAGCTTCGCGTTCCGCTTTGATAGCATCCTGTTTTGCCTTCTGTTCTGCTTCTGCTTCTTCCTTCTGTTTCCTCATCTCTTCTTCAGCAGCATGTGCTCTCTAACATAATAAAGAAAGGTTTTCAAAATGGTATCTTTAAGATAAGAAATAAATTATTTCCACATACCTAACTAAAATTGATCACTTATTTTACACTGAAATTAACGCAAATACCTCATTAATATTATCCCATATGGAACACTGCAACAGACGATATGAAACTTGAAAAATCAAAATTACATTTCATTTCTAATAACAGGTACTGAAGCTTAGTTTAAAGGACAAGAACATCATAAGAAAAATGAAAACTAAAAATCATTAAAAAACAGTAAAAAATCAGTAATTCAGTGAAAAGTTTATATACATAACACCTGATGATGGCTATATATAGCCGAAACATGTCGTGTATGTTCCACATGTAAATCGAGTACTCGATAGGGAACGTAAAATGATATTTTAATCTTTTAATTATATTATATTGTGATTGACGGCTAATTTTAATATATTTTAATACTATTTAAATAATCACAATATGACGCATCTACAATACCTTACTGAAATTAGTGTTAGGTTAAGAATTTGTATGTTTAACTCGCTTTCTTACACGATCTTCTTCCTCCTGACGAGCTCTTGCGGCGTCCTTTTTAGCTTGCTTTACGGCCAATTTGCGATCTTTATCTTCCTGCTTGAATTTTTGAATACGAGGATCTAAGCTGTAAGCTATGTCAACAAGACTTCTAATCCTCGCCATCTCTTCTTTCTTCCGTTTAGCACGAGCTGCTTTATTTTGTTTCTCTATCCACTTACGTTCCTCACGTCTGAAAGAGCAGTGATATTACATATTATGGCGTACAGAAGTCAAAAGAAAATGCTTCATAAGTATAATGCATTCAAAAAGTCACCGTGGTGTCGCAGTTTATGCAGAAAATCACATGGGAGGACCTTGTTAATGTGCTTAGAAATAAAATTAAGCATTGAAGCATGCAATAAACAAGACGTGGTCTTCATGACTATTGGTCATATGTTAAAATTCATATGTACATAGTGAATGCATAGACAGACAGACAGACAAACACACATACATGTGTCTATATGTGTTTGTACACCATACGTGTGAGATTTATAAACAAACCATTTCCATGCATTAATCACTGATAACATAATGTTACTTGCAATGGTGTATAATGAAGATTTAGTGACTGAAATCAGACATTTTATCATTTTATAACAAAAGTTTATAAAATGAATGGTACATAAAATAAAGAAAACTGAGAGGATCCACGAGTCCATAATTAACTTCGCCCTTTGTGTGCGCGAGAATCACATGTAACGTTACGTAGAGTAACGCAAGATATGACAAGACTGGAAGCGCGGGCGATGTTTCTTCATCAGAACATTCGACATACCCTTGCCCTTGTTCTTTCTCTTCCTCGTCCAGGTATGAATATTCACGCCATGATTCGAAGTTATACCAAAAGGAATAAAACCGTTCAACATTTTCTCTTGATGTTGACTCATTTCCTAATTTTGGTACTGGCATCTTCTCAGACCAGCGTGAGTTCAAGTCAAATGCTTTCCCAAACACCTAAACAAGAAACAATATTTTGCTGATTATATTACACTGAACACTGAAATAAAGAACGAAGGAAGTCATATTTCAGGTTCTCAAGGCAGCAACTACAATGATGGCTGTCTTCTGGGTCATAGCGCCGTGTAGTCTCGTACATGTTTACCAATGTTTCAGAGGTCCTTACTGCCTCCATCAACAGCCTGTCTTAACTTAACAGTGTACACAGATTAAGGCAATTAAATATTATAGTGAGAATAATGAAACAATTAAAGAAACTGTTCAGGCATTTCCTGACAATGACGATGCAGCTTGTGTAGCTGTTGTGAGGGAAACTGTAAAGGCTGTTAATGTAAAAGAGATATTTAATAAAACTGCATTTTTTACAGTAGCCATCACAGAACTAGACGCATCCAGAATACCACTGCATGGCACGGAGGCTGTCATTGAAAATTTTCAAAAACACCTGAAGAACACCCCTAAAAAAGTGAGAAAGTAGAATGCTGTTATTACAATGAAATCCAGGACACTTCTCAATGAAAGCACTGTCAAAAACTTTGGACAAAGAAGAAGCAGAAATTCCTGCAGAAGATGAATGTCGGAACATTCTGAAATTCAAATACGTAACTTAAATCAGTTGATGTTGAGAGGGCTCTCTCAGCTTACAAATTGTTTTTGGGAAATAAAATCATAAAATATATGAAAAATTGCAAACTATGGCGGAAACTTAACTTTCAACAGTTATCTTTTTAGCTTGTAACACTAACTGATTAATAACCAATATTAATTCTATCGGCATATTTTAAAACAATAAAAGTAGTGCTTGGAAATCAGACGTTCATCATTACTGCATATTTTTAACAAATGTTCTTGAGTACATACATGCCTATTTTAAGTGCCTAAAATGGCAGTTCCTAGTGCTTGAAGTTTCAGTGCTAAGTCATAACCCAAAAGACCAAAATCTAAATCCTCAATGTAATATTGTTTTGGTTAAGAATTTGTTTAGTCAATTATAAGAGCAATATTGATTTATGTAAAAATCTTAAAATGATTGAAGACACAGAATAAAACAAATACAGGCAGTTCTGTTGAACAGCAGAAGTGCTGAAGTATGCCACAAATTCAATAACATATATTTTATGTTGTTACTACCTCATAGAAATTATTCCGAGTATGCTCATTGCCTGTTGGTATAGAATCATCAAATTCTTTGTCAACAGAATCATATGAACGGCGATTGCGTGGATTACCCAATATCTCCCAGGCTTTGGTAATGCAGGTAAAGTAGTCATCATCAGGACGAATCTCCTCTCCTTGAGCCTTACGCTTATCAGGATGGTGACGCAACACTTTCAAGCGATCTGTGAAGTCAAGAGAAAATAATGACCACTGATTTTATAAAACTTGATTTCCCAGAAAATCTGCGACACGAATTACTGTTGTACTGTTTTAGCTTATAAACAATGTGCAACTCAGGGTGAAACACTTTTCTGTTCCAGCCATAACAACACAATAAAGTCCCAATGATGTTGTTACATTCATTTTAAAGTGCAAATGTCAAAAAATGTAATACATAACACAATATAAATTGACCAATTGTTCAATGTTCCAAAAATAAAACCACTATATTTCAGTCATGGATCTGCTTCTATATTCAGGTAACAAAGCCTAACTAATTTTGTTCTTAATTTCTTAATATAGTTTTGATTTGTTACTGTTGCTCCCAAGTATTTGAACTACACCACATTAAGTCCTTTGCTATAACTAGTAAATTCATAAATTTGAACATACTTACAAGCTTTTTTTATATCATCTTCTGTAGCTTTATGACGTAATTTCTTTAAACCAAGAACAGCATAATGATCTTGTTCCTAAAAACAATATTATAAATTATTAAAATTAGATTTCAAAGAACTAAAGAGCAGAAGTACGTTACACAACAACAAATTACCTTCCACTCTTTAGGATCAAGGCTTCTAAGAAAATTCACATCATCTGGATCAACAAAAGTAGAGGTCAACTCATCTTCTGATTCCTCTTCTTCTTGAAGTGTTAACGCATCATCTGAAATTCCAGGCTCAACCTGCCAGAAACTCAAGAAGACTGGTCCAACACATTCTACCAATCTTCTAGTTAATGCTGCAAATAAAAGTCAAAGAATGCTCATAACATGAACAATACAATATTTATTTCTATAACCATCACATTCACAGATATGAATTAAATTACTATTCGGATATCTGGTAATATACCAGATTACATAGCACTACAACTCAGAAGATACACACAATCTGAAATTGCTATTACTGAAAAAAAATTGTAAGGTTATTCTGGACATAAGTCTACTTCTGGAATGCTGGCATGAATCTGTTTATGGAATTCTTCACACTGTATTTTGATTTGTTCTGCATTATTAACTCAAGTTAGTACAAGTGGATGTACTGGAGTACTTTAAAGAGATTTCATTGTAAGTGCCACTGTCTGAGAACATAAACTTTCCCCTCAAACCATATTCTAGCCTTGATGCAACACAGCTTAAGCACAGCAGTAATTTCACCCTTCCAGCTGGCCTTAGGTTACCACTTCTTCATATATGATATGTTGATCAGTCCTGGGGCAGGTTACTTGAACATTTACTCTTCCATGTGTTTACAATCCATCCAGGCAAAACATTAAAGAAATAACGTTAAGAAACAAAACTACATACTCTGAATATTAACGAAATCACTATATATTACAACAGTCTTATTTATACTAATAATATATTACACAACTTCCTCTATTAAAACAAACTAACCACTAATCTGAGTAGTATGGTGATCCATGTGCTTCTTATTTAACACACGGAAGTCTTCCTGTAAGAATGTTTATTCAACCTGCAGGTTAGAACATACCATCAGAACATAATAATAGAAGTCAAGTTTTGTCTCTTACAACTTAACACGAAATGTACTACAATTAGCAGCCCCTGTTATCAACCTCACATTACCTGTACGGTAAATACCATACATACTCCAGAGTATTTCAAACTGACGATCGCAACGCGCACTTTTTACATGTCTACCAACGTATCAAGCATCCATTCATAAGCATTTTTATACATAAAATATAAGAACTTTAATATACATTTCGTTAAGATTTTTAGCAGAAAGATTTCTTAAAAGTAAGAAGAAACAAATTCAACCATAAAGTAAAATAATCACGAACTGAATAGTCCCCTAGTGACGCTGAAATGCGGAAGCTAAATGGACTAACCAACAATAAGTGTAACATTTAAAATTGTAAGCTTTCACGGCGATACATTATTGGTTCTGAACTTACTTTTAAATGATAAGTTAATGCCGTTTCGTAGGACCATATTCCATCGTCAGGGTTGTCTTGAGGAAGGCGCCAACCAACCAAAAAGCTGATTAGCAAACTTTGCTCTTGTTAATGATCCTGTCGTCCGCCACAATATACTTTGAAATTCTGTCTATGTTCTTAAATGAACCACAAATAAATTACGATATTGCAGAAACCAAAGTTGCTTGGGAACATATTTGAGGTATGTTCTGAAAGAACAGTACACAAGGACACTGACACAGCATTTATTACCACACTAAAAATTTTGTTTCCATTGTGTGACATCCTCTCATTTCTATATGAAATTTATGTGAAAAAGGAGAATTTGGTGCTATTTTGCCACCTATTATTTCCATCTTGCTTTTAATCATAATTCTGAACATTTCCATTGTCTGAAATGGAAAAATACTAGCTGGTCTCAAACCTAAGATCTCTGGAACACCTTATCTCCAGACCACCCAGTTCTGCAGATTCATTATAAACGAGACAAGGAGAGAGTACTTAGGCATTGTAGCCAAGGATTGTTATCAGACTGATCATGTAAATGTGCAAATGTACCCACTCCAAAGTAAATCATTCTCTATGATATGAGTATTTGAAGACAAAAACAATATGTTGTCAGTTCACTGCAGAATGTTTTCAGATGCAGCACACAAAACAATACTACTGACCCCACATTTCAAATATCAAGGATTAGTTACACCATTATGATATCTTAAATACATGTTTTTTATTACTGGTCAGGCTCAGAGCAAAATCTACGCTCCAGGTTTTGCTGTTAGCATGATTCTTTTATTCTATACAAGAAAAAGACAAATCTTCAGTAATTATCAATAAAATAATTACCAGATATTTTGCATACTGCTAATGGCTGTATTTAACACTGTACACATTTCTACTCAAATAGTCTTATTTATATTTAACATTAAACAATTTTAGATATATTCAAGATAAATATCACTAATGAGTATTAGATTTAATGTTTATTCTATACAGTTCTATAATTAGGCTGAACATGAAAATAAAAGGAAAATGTCCTAGTTATGAAATATGTCGAGGACGGGGAAGAGAGAAAAGAATGGGAAGATATAGACAGATGGAGAGGGTGACTCTTCAGGAGATATTATGGTTTTGGTGTTTAAAAAAGGAATTAGAATATGCCTTTTGATTTATTGTCAACAGACACTATCACCTTAAGACTGCATTTAGCTATTTTTTTCATTCCACATGAGTTTTTATGTATTACATCACTAATAATAAAATATGTTTAGTCAGATCACATTTCCTGCTCTCTGTTTGTACTTACTATTAACTGTAAATTAAATGCTGTCTTATAAGAGTATTTAAATTCAGTTCTTTATCCCAAATCATGTGACTGATTACAAACAGCATGATTTACACAAATTATTATGCTTACATTTTAATACAAGTTCACTTTGGGAAGAGGCAGTCCTTCACCTGCATGACGTTTCCTAATATGCCGTTTCAAACTGCTAGGATATTTAAAAGACTGGGAACATGTAGGACAGATGTGTGGTTTCTCCCCCGAGTGAACAGCCTGATGTGCCGTGAGGTTACCTTTGTCGCTAAATGCTTTCAAGCATGTCTCACATCTGTATGGTTTCTCTCCACTGTGTGTTCTCCTGTGCACTATAAGATTACCCAATGTTGTAAACTGCTTGCCACAGACAGGGCATTGGTGTGGCCGGTCTCCAGTATGCATTCTCATATGGTTAATGAAAGTGCTTCTGCATTTGAAAGCTTTACCACACACGCTGCAATGGTGGGGCTTCTCTTGTGAATGCAAAGCTTGGTGTGATGTAAGACTGGATTTAAATTTGAATGACTTTCCACATATTGAACACTGATGGCACCTATCATCTGAATGAGAGGCAGAGATTTAAATTTGAATGACTTTCCACATATGGAACACTGATGGCACCTATCGTCTGAATGAGAGGCAGAATGAGTCATCAGATTGGATTTACTACTAAATGATTTCCCACATACTGCACACAGATATGGGCTTTTCTGTGTGTGTAATGTTTTGTGATTACATAGATTAGACATGTATTTGAATCCCTTACCGCACACTGGACACTGGTATGGCCTTGCTTCCGAATGCACTGCCACATGTTTCATTAGATTTGATTTGCAACTGAAAGATTTACCACATACTGTGCATAGATGGGGACCATTCTCTACATGTAAAGATTTGTGATTACAAAGATTAGACATATATTTAAAACCTTTACCACATACGGAGCACTGAAATGGTCTCTCCTCAGAATGTATCGCAATGTGTTTGACAAGATTTGATTTCGTGCCAAAGGATTTACTGCATACGGTACATGAGTGGGGGCCATTTTCCACATGCAGTGCTTTATGGTTACAAAGATTGGACTTGTATTTGAAACTTTTCCCACACACAGGGCACTGATGCGGCCTCTCTTCAGAATGGGAAGCAACGTGGCTAGTGAATTTTGACTTACAGCTAAAAGATTTACCACATACATTACACAGATGGGGCCCATTCTCCACATGCAATACTTTATGATTACAGAGGTTTGATTTATGCTTGAAACACTTGCCACATATCGAGCACTGATAGGGCCTGTCTTCCGAATGCGTGGCGAGATGGCTAGTGTATTTGGATTTGCCACCAAATGCTTTTCCACACTTGGTACAAAGGAAATGTTTGTCTTTTGCATGTAAAGCACTGTGCTCCAAGAGGTTAGATTTGTACTTGAAAGCCTTGCCACACACGGTACAAAGATGTGACCTATCCTTTGTGTGCAGGGCTTGGTGGACAGTCAGGTTATACTTTGTTTTGAAAGACTTACCGCACACAGAGCAGCAGTGTTGTTTTGTGTCTGCATGAAAAGCCTGATGCTCAGAGAGCTGAGATTCATCATTGAAGCATTTGCCACACTCCGGACATTGGTGTGGCATTTCTTCTAAGTGAGAAATTATGTGAATCATGAGATCAGTCTTGGAATCAAACTGCTTGTCACAGACATTGCACTGTACTGGCAAGTCTCTAGCATGTAAAGCTGTGTGTTGTATGAGATTTGATTTATATTTGAATGATTTACCGCAGAGAGAACACAGGTGTGGCCTGGCTTCAGAGTGGGAGGCAAGGTGTTGGATGAGATTTGACTTAGAATGGAATAATTTTCCGCATTCCGTACATGACACTGAGTCTTGGGAATGTAATGCTGTATGATTTGTAAGGCTTGATTTGTACTTAAATGAACAGCCACACACAAAGCAATAGTATGGATTTTCATCTGGGTGAACTGCAAAATGCTCTTTCATGTCTTCCTCGGTGCTAAACGACTTACTGCATACATGACACGCGTGCTGTTCCATCCCATCATCACCATCCACTCCAAGGGAAGAGCTTAGTTGTGGAGTGCTTCTGCCTTCAGTAATACACAGATCTGGTTCACCAATATCTTCAGGCTTCATGTCCTGTAGAGAACTGGCCAGTGACGGTGTGCCACCTCTGGCCTTGTCAATACCTTGATCAGGGACGCTAATGTCTTCATGGTTCAGATTG